TAGTACCGCCACAACAAACACTAAACCCGAAACCCGAATCCTATAAACAAAAAGCAGAAACGCATGTCACTGAACAAACTCGGACGTGTTTCGAGGAAGGGTACTCAACTCACTACCCCAGCGTACCCTATGCAACCGCAGCTTAACCTTAGTGCCTTAGTGAGCCTTAGTGCTTATGTGGAAATCAGATTCCCCCAAAAGGACAAAGGTTGCTTACTCCGTTACTAATCTGAACCCTTAAACTGTAAACCTCCTTTTCAGGACCCTGCATGTCGGTGAGCAAACTCCAACACTCAGATTCGGAGCTTGGGACCCTAAACCCTAAATTCCCTAAACCCTATAAACTCCCTAAACCCGAAACTCCCCAAACCCTAACCTCCCCAAACCCTAAAATCCCCAAACCCTAAACTCCCTGAACTCCCTATAGACCCTAAAATGGGATAAGCCCAAGACCTGCATTGTGGCGGTACACCCGGCGCATTGGGCCCAAACTATATGCTATTTGGGTACATGGACCCTTAGGGCTATCTTGTGGTTCGCGCAACCCCTTGGAGAACTACTGTCATGGTAGCTGCCTGCCAGCCCCACTGCACAGCTCGATGCCTCGCAAGGGGTTTAGAAGCTTGGGATTTGGGTTGAGGGAATTGGGGCTCAGGACCCTAAACCCTAAACCGGGCTCAGGGTTTAGGATTCCGGGGCCAGGAGCATACCGCAGGGGCCTACAATATTGGTGACGTTCAGGAGTGCTTGAATTTACTGGGCGGGCCCTGAGTGGCTCCCTGGCGGGAGGTGGCTACAAGGAAGATTGTGCTTGTTCTTGTTTGGCTCCATTTCATGACTGGGCCAGCCTCCAATTTTACGAACCCTGCAGGCACGGAAGCCCTGCAAGGGGCTTCAAGAAACCTTCAGACATGGGAGTTTCCGAAAATAGGGGACCCCAATATAGTACCCTATATAATGGGATCCTGATTATGTATACCCCCAAAGAAAGTACCCCTGACTTTCGGAAACTCCCAAATTTGCCGGGGCCACACAGGCCAAATCCAGCAGCATGGATCATGGCATGGCTGGTTCGGGTTTCCGCTGCACGCGGCGAGGCTCTTTCAAAGTTAGAACGGTATGTACCTTTATACCCGACAAACTGCTATGTATATATGTATGTATATATATATATATATATTTATATGCCCGATACCTTTATGGTCTATATAACCGCGGCTTGTTGTCTTCAGCACATAATGGAAAGCAAAATGTAAGGTATAAGCACAGCCCACATTACAAAGCCACGACCTGAAAAGTTTCGGATCGACTAGGCTATATTTTTCTATCAAGTAATTATAGCAAATTACTCGCATTCAGGGAGACGAGTATTATATAAACAGAACATCGAGTGTTGATCCCAACACTGTCGATGAATAAACATTCGTTGTGATGACACATTTCAGTGTATAGAGTCCATACATCTTGCAGGAATGATGTATCGTCGTGAAGATATGCATAGCACTGTCAGCAGTATATCGGCAACATGGACAAATTGTCCTGTCCAAATATTTCACAATTCGACTTATTGTTGACTTGCCAGCGCTTGAGTAATTGCATACGACATATCCATCCAAGAATCACGTAATAAGCATGCACGCTGTAATATGGCATAAATTTGTTTGTAATTTCCGCACAGGCCAGAATGCAAAACCTGACAGGTTCGGTACTCATGAATCGGATGTGTTTATATGACAAATTATGGGAATACATACGGCATGACACATCCATATCACATGATGTAACACTTTACAAGGCATGTCATGTGCCAATCTGTTATGTCCTGGACTTTCCAATGTATAAGTTCCTTGTCAGTAGAGGGTCAACCGGAGTGGGTGGAGTGACACATTAGGGTGCCTGTAATATGTCATTTTGATATGCCCAGGCACAGGGGCCTGACAGTGTATAAGTTCCTTGTTAGTAGGGTTTCAGTAGGAGAAATGGAGTGACACATTAGAGGGCATGTAATATGTCAATTTGCCCAGTCCAGGACCCAGGAAGTGAAGATACACATTATAGTGGGTTTAATGTGCCAGTTTGTTATGTCCATAAAAAGTGCTTTCCGATGTATCAATTTCTTATCAGTAGGGTTTCAATAGGATAGGTGGAGCGACACATTATAGGGCCTGCAGTGTGTCAGTTTATTATGTCCAGGGGTTTTCCAGTGGAAAAGTTCCATTGCAATAGAGGTTCCATAGGAGGGAGTGGAGTGACACATTAGAGGGCCTGTAATGCGTCAATTTATACTACCCAGAGGCCTTCCAATATACAGATGCCCTACAGTGTATAAGTTCCTTGCCTTTAAGGTTTCAATAGGAATAATGACACATTAGAAGGCCTGTAATGTGTCAGTTTGTTTTCCCATGTGCATTCCAATGTATTTCTATACATATCAGATCTGATGTGATCACAGCATTAGCCAAGAAGGATATCACGTAGTTAATAGTCTTCACGATCTTAACAAAGGCGCAATTATCCGTATCGAAGGTATACATTCCCATGAAGAATCCCTTATAGATCCCTTCACATATCCCTTGTATGGAGCCCTCATAGACAGCCTTTATAGATTCGTATAGAAACTTTATAGATCCCCTATATAGAGAACTTATAGAAACCCCGTATAGATCAACAAATGGAGTTCTTTGTAGAAAACTTTACAAGATCCCTTACATGGAGCTTTCATAGACAACTGCTATATATTCCTTACCCTTTGTAGAAACCACATGGAAGCCCTGTATAGATCCCTCGTATGGAGCCCTTCTGGAAAACCCTTACAGATTGCTTATAGAAATCTTATAGATCCTCTATGTAGAGACCTTATATAAATCCATTATATAAAAAACTATAGATCCCTTACAGAGAGACTTTCTAGAAACCCATTATGGATCCCTCATATGGGGCCTTTATAGTAAGCCCGGTTACAAAGTATGTAGATGCGATGTGGTAAGCTATTCTTGATATAGTAGTTAAGATAAATCGATTGTATTATGGTTCGTACAATACCTATGAAATTACCTTTAAGAATAGAGGGAGCGGTATTAAAACCAATGAAACCGGCAACGAAGATGATGAAGAAGATGAAGATGATGCAGATGATGAAGATGATGAAGATAATGGAGATGATGAAGATGATGAAGATGATGGAGATGATGGAGATGATGAGATGATGAGATGATGGAGATGATGAAGATGATGGAGATGAAGAAGATGATGGGGGTGATGGATATGATGGAGATGGCAGGGGGCAGGGGGCAAATGGCAAAGGGGAGGGAAAGGTGAGGAGGTGGGGAAGGCAGGGATGGTAGGAGAGGGGGCAAGGGAACAGGGGGAGGCCTGAAATGTGTCATGCTTCTTTCTGTAAGGCGGAAAAGATGACACATTTCCGGCCTGAAATGTGTCATGCTTCTTTCTGTAAGGCGGAAAAGATGACACATTTCCGGCCTGAAATGTGTCATGCTTCCTTCTGTAAGGCGGAAAAGATGACACATTTCCGGCCTGAAATGTGTCATGCTTCTTTCTGTAAGGCGGAAACGATGACACATTTCCGGCCTGAAATGTGTCATGCTTCTTTCTGTAAGGCGGAAACGATGACACATTTCCGGCCTGAAATGTGTCATGCTTCCTTCTGTAAGGCGGAAAAGATGACACATTTCCGGCCTGAAATGTGTCATGCTTCTTTCTGTAAGGCGGAAACGATGACACATTTCCGGCCTGAAATGTGTCATGCTTCTTTCTGTAAGGCGGAAACGATGACACATTTCCGGCCTGAAATGTGTCATGCTTCCTTCTGTAAGGCGGAAAAGATGACACATTTCCGGCCTGAAATGTGTCATGCTTCTTTCTGTAAGGCGGAAACGATGACACATTTCCGGCCTGAAATGTGTCATGCTTCTTTCTGTAAGGCGGAAAAGATGACACATTTCCGGCCTGAAATGTGTCATGCTTCTTTCTGTAAGGCGGAAAAGATGACACATTTCCGGCCTGAAATGTGTCATGCTTCCTTCTGTAAGGCGGAAAAGATGACACATTTCCGGCCTGAAATGTGTCATGCTTCTTTCTGTAAGGCGGAAACGATGACACATTTCCGGCCTGAAATGTGTCATGCTTCTTTCTGTAAGGCGGAAAAGATGACACATTTCCGGCCTGAAATGTGTCATGCTTCTTTCTGTAAGGCCGAAAAGATGACACATTTCCGGCCTGAAATGTGTCATGCTTCCTTCTGTAAGGCGGAAAAGATGACACATTTCCGGCCTGAAATGTGTCATGCTTCCTTCTGTAAGGCGGAAATGATGACACATTTCCGGCCTGAAATGTGTCATGCTTCCTTCTGTAAGGCGGAAAAGATGACACATTTCCGGCCTGAAATGTGTCATGCTTCCTTCTGTAAGGCGGAAAAGGATGACACATTTCCGGCCTGAAATGTGTCATGCTTCCTTCTGTAAGGCGGAAAAGATGACACATTTCCGGCCTGAAATGTGTCATGCTGCTTTCTGTAAGGCGGAAACGATGACACATTTCCGGCCTGAAATGTGTCATGCTTCTTTCTGTAAGGCGGGAAAGATGACACATTTCCGGCCTGAAATGTGTCATGCTGCTTTCTGTAAGGCGGAAACGATGACACATTTCCGGCCTGAAATGTGTCATGCTTCTTTCTGTAAGGCGGAAAAGATGACACATTTCCGGCCTGAAATGTGTCCCTAAACCCTAAACCCTAGAGCCCAAACCCTGCAAGCGGGACGCTTGCTAGTAGCACAGGACGGTAGCCCTCGGATCACAAGCTTTGGTATCAAGATACAGAATCCGGTTCAGCTTCGCAATGGCACGGTGATACACAGTGCTTCCCCTGAAGCTGTTCTAGCGGAATCCTTTTCTCGAGTCACGTAGCTGCAGGCAGCGACTGTGTCGAGGAATGCAGCTCAAGAACACAGACTGTTTGCTGTTTCTTGCATGCCCCCAAACTCCTAAAGACCTTCAGAGTTCTGATATTCCCTTTGATGGGATTCCTTAGTCTCTGCTTCCAGCGGCTGTAAGCCTGCTTGCTTCCGACGTCGCGCTGACATCATTGATGGATCCTCGACAGTTCTCCATCGGCCCTGCATCTGATAGAACAGTTCAAACTCTCGTGAGGGTCCAGACTTTGTTAGTCCGTTCGCCAGCTGTGCTTCTGAATGTACCCACCTCACGTGGATTCCAGTACTCATTTGTGCTTCTTTTACACTCAAGAGTTCGATATTCGACTTCTTCTCGGCGCCCTTAATCACCAGAACTTCTGTGGTGAGCTTGTCATACACATTCCTCGAATCCGTGATCAGGTAGCCAGGCACACGAGAGACCGCATCGTTGGGCTGTCGCACATCTACTTCGCCATGTAGCATTTCAGACCACTGATACCGTGCAAAGTACAAGGAGTCTTCTCCATTTACGGCCGCCTGCACTTCTGCAGAGCCGGGAGACCTACAGGTTCGATCCAAATGGCTGGAGTGCCAGCTGACGGGCGAAATTTCTGTCACTTCTCAAAACCTATAAAGATTCCTTGTGTGCTTCCTCCTTCCACTCGGTTCTGGTTGGCCGCATCCACCCATGCATAAATGCCCAGGGGGGTGTCGGGTGTGAAGCCATGAATGAGCATCTTGTGATCCTGCCTCAGGTGTGCCTGACGCAACAAACTATTGGCTTTCTTCACAGTTTGAACAGTTCCCTCACTGGTTTCCGAGAGCAGCAATGACACTTCGGCAGAGAAATGGGGAGCAACCTGTTGCGCATGCCAACTTAGTGCACCTAACAAACTTCTCAGCTGCGTTCTCTCTCGCTCATTGATAGGACTATCATCCTCCTTCCGTCGGCTCGCATTGAGCGGGATCTCTTTGATGTCACGCGTGTAGTCCGGTTGGGAAAGCTCGAAACCTTGTTTGGTCTGAGTAACCTTCACCCCACACTGAACGAAACTTCCCGACTCCCAATCGCCCCAACGGAACTTTTCTTGGATTTTCCTCAGAATTTCCTGTCATTCCTTATCATTGTCATCTCCCATGAACAGAAAATCGTCAACATGACCGGAAATAGCCCGTCTCAAAGTCCCTTGAACCCTCCAGAGCCAAGCGCAGGGGTCTGACCACGACCTCACGAAGCCTAACTCCTTGAGGAAGCTATCTACAGACCGATACCACTCAAGAGGCGCGTCCACCAATCCGTAACAGGCTCGCTTGAGCTGAGTCACTGAACCTGGTGGCAATCCCATTTCAGCCAAAATCTCTGGACACGGAATGCAATGAAGAAGATCCGGATATTCCCGTCCTTGAAGGAACGCTCCTGAAACGTCCCCCTTCTTCATGGTCCACTTCTTCCAGGCCGCATATTGGAGAAACATCTGACGCGTCTGACGCATCATTACAGGAGAGGTTGTTGAGCGGTGCTCGTATGAAGGGTCTTGGTATCCTAACAACACCGCCCTAGCCTTGGCTTTTCTGCTGCCATCTTCTTTGTTTTTCCACGTAAGAATCCATCTCATTCCTACCGCCTGGCTTGCCGATGGTTGCAAATGGCTAGGGAGTGCTTGGAAAGCTTTCGCGGCGATAAAACTCTTCACTTCAGTAGTCTTGGCCTCTTGGAACTTAGCGCGATCCTCAGGACTAAGTTTCCGTTCACACACCTCTACGGCCTTCCGCTTCAGAGCCCCCACAAAGAACCCTTCAAAGTTTTGACACATCTGCTTCAATCCCCGATTGGACTGTGGCACTTCAACCTCAACCTCAACAGCCGTATCCGAATGCATCCAGAACTCCACCGGCTCCTGATTCCATGATTCGTGTGGAACTTGATTCCACCACCCATGGTCTGCGAAACTGGCCTGTTGTTGGTTCTCCTGTAGACGTGGTCGCGCGGCACTTGCAGCCTCTCCCATAGCATCATCATCACCGGGCTGAGCTTGGGGAGGAGGTCGCTTATGGGTAATCCGATGTCTGGTAGGAGGAGCTTCCTGGGTCGGGTCTTGAGCGCGGTTCCATTCAATATCGTCGGGAGCTTCTCGGGATATATCCTCATACTGGTTACCTCCGATTTCTTCCGCAACTTTGTCCTGAGACAGTTCTCCCACTAACTCTTCTCTCTCAGAGGCTCTCCGTAACTGTTCAGGACAGCACTTAATCAGTTGTCGGCCTCGAACACACCAAACTGCACTGCCAGGTCTGAGGTTTCCAGCTTCGTCACGACGGGTTTCGGTAGCAAGCACTCTAGCAGGTCCTAAGAACCTACCGTGTTTTCCCCCTGGGCTTCTCCTACTCTTGTTACTTTCTTGACATCTCCAGAAGAAGACTAATTCCCCTGGTTCGTAGTTGAAAGCCCGTCGAGGTCGGGAGTGCTGGGCCCTTAGGAGCCTTTGGTTCGCGTGCCAGCTCGCATGTGCCCGCTCGGCAATTGCTCTTCGCTGAACGTCCCTTTCAAACTCCACTGAAGCATTCTCCACCAGAAGATCGGGTGGAAGTCCATTGGCCGTAGGCACAAAACGATCCGACTCATCCCCGTTTCTACCTAAAGCCAATTGACCCGGAGAAAACCCTCGAATCTGTTCCCTCCTCACAGCTGTGGCGAGTGCTTCTTCCGATGAAATCTCGGAGTCCTCCTCATGAAGCTTGTCCATCAACTGTTTCAGCCCTTGGACGGCCTGTTCCACTGTTCCTACTTGCCAATGCGCTTCAGCCGGCACTAAGTCAAGGTAGATACTGTGCTTATCTAAAACGCTTTACGGGTACGTTCCGGACCCTTTCACTTCACACAGATATTCGCACTTCACTTTTCCTCGGGCGCACGGCTGTCTTGGGTGCGTCCCTTGAGCCTAAACACCACAGTGGAACATTTGTTCCATACTATACAAAATCATGTGGCAAACAGCTCATCTACAGGATTACAGGGCAACACACTCCTAAGCGAAATGTTTGTTACCCCCTCTTCGTGCATCCTCTTTTCGCCTTTTCCTTCCTAGAGGTGCAACGAACCCAAAACAGTCGCTCATTCCTCCTTTTGAAACACTCGTTGTGCACTCCGTTTTGTCGTGGTGTGAGACGAGTGAAACAGAGCTACTCCTACTGGCCGCTCTCAAACTCGTTCACTTCTTTGGCTTTTCAGCCTCAAAAGAACTCGCGGTGGCCAAAGCCACAAAACTCTTCAAACTCTTTAAACTCTCCTCGTAAAGAAACTCTTCGGCTTCTCGTGGTGCAGCTGTCGTACAGCTTTCAGAAAACTCTTTCCTCGTTTGGGAACGAAGTTCCCCCTCTCGGCTTTACAGCCTTCAGATTCCCTTTTTCTTTATAGACCTCCGGTTTGGTCTTCCTTTCTTCTCTTTTCTCCTCTTCTCCTTTAGCTGCTCTTTTGCTGGGCTTTCTTTCCTTTGCCCTTTTCCGCATTGTCAGTGCGGTACTTTTTCTTGTTTGTCTCCAACCTGTTCGCGTATGCTCTTCGGATTATCAACTCATGTCTCTTGTACCAGGATTGGAACTGCTCCTTACTCATCTCTTCCCTTTGCATCTTTGGAGCATACTGCCCTGAGGCAGTATAGTTGTAATCAGCATCCCAACACGTTTCGGAACCATGTCCGAAACGCGAACATACTGCGCATACCATTGCCTGGCTTTGCGCATCAGGATCTTCGTTGATTTTTCCTTCCTCTTTAAGCGCTTGGAGCTCATCTTCGAGGGCCTTGTTGTTCTTTCCCAGCTCCTTTATGGTCTCGCGCATTTTCCGGCGCTCCTCTTTCATCTTTTCTGCGTCCTCGTTCTGCTGGCCTTGCGTTGACCCAGCACTGCTTTTGCGCTTCTTCAGTTTTCGAACTTCTTCATTAAGTTCTCCAATCTCTTTGTCCTTTGCCTCTTTCAGCTCTGTGATTTCTTTTTCCTTCTTGTCTATCTCTTCTTTGATCTCCCTTTCTTTTGTCTCTTGGAGCTCTTTCATCTCTTTGATCCTCTTGCGCTCCATCTCTTCCAGCTTTTGCTCAGCTTCGCCCTGAAGCAGTCCACCCGCTGGAACCTGTAGTTCCTTCCTTTTCGCTTTCAACTCCTCCAGTGCAGCATGGAGTTTCGGTCTCACCCGGTCCATTTCTTTCTGCAGGGCGGACTCCTCGTCCATTATCAATGTAGCCTCCGTTTCTTGTTCCTCTTCCTCGGCTCTCAGCTTGTCCAGTTGTTTCTCTATGGACTCCTTGGCAACGAACGCTTCGTCCGCTACCCGCTTCAGCTCCTCCTTTACCTCTATCTCTTTTGCAATCAATCTGTCTCTTTCTTCCTCCTTGAGCTTCTTCTGTTTCTGTTTGTACGTGTACAAATCACCATAAATGGCGAATTTCTTTCTCTTTTCATCAACTTTCTCCTGCAGAACCCTCATCTGTCCAAGCAGGTCCTGCACTCTCTTTTCCTCTTCCAGCACTGACTTCTTTGCCAGCTTGTTCATAATCTCTTTGTACTCATCATCACTTGACTCAGAGTCTTTTCTCTTTCTCTTCTCGCCTCTCTTTTTCTCTTCTTCCTTTTCGGAGCTTTGCTCTTCCTCTTCTTTCTCCGAGCTCACTTTCTCCTCGCTCTCAGAGGCTTCATGCTCCTCTTCTTCTTTCTCTTTCTTTTTTTCTTCTTCCTCTTTTGTCTCCTTTGCTTTCTCTGCGGCATCGTTTGCCCTTTCCTTCTGGCCCCTTCGCCTCTCGGAAGCATCCAAGGCCTTCTGCCTCAGTTCACTCACTCTATCTTCCATAACCCGTGCCTGGCTTTCCTCGGCACTTCCTTTGCTTCCTTGTGCCTCTACAGCCAATTCCTCGGCTGTTTTCTTGAACTCTTCAGGCACTTTAACCTCCGCCGTTGCAGCTTCTGACGGGGCCGCCTCTTTAGGCTCAAACTGTTGGTTGAGGCGTTGCACTTCGGGCCATAGGGCATCCAGGGTTAGCCTTCTCTCACGTTCCTTTTTGAGCTCTCTTTCACAGAGGGTTACGGACTCTATGCTTCGGCATTCGTCCTTGATCATCGTCTTGAGGGCCGCGTCGTCGGCCATTCTTTTCACTTCTCTTTTTCTTTCTACTTCTTTTCTCCTCACTTCTTTTCTTCTCACTTCCTTCCTTGAGTTAAAAACGGCAGCGGCGGAACAAAACATGCATTCAGCACTTCCAACCAGACTCTTCCACAGGCTACCGTTGCAAACCAAGATAACGACCATTGTCATCATCATCACCATCATCACTAAACCAAAGCTTCCACCTTCACTGCTTCTACTGCTTTGCTCTCTTAGTCCATCACATTGCTGAACCATCATCATCATCACAAGTCTTCTCAGATACTTCGTAGGGATCTTGAAGTCACTTGCTATCCTGACCTCTTCACGCTCTTCTCCAGTTTTCACACCGATTCTCTCCAAACACTTCACAACAGCGTTCCTCGACAAAGCCTTCGTCCCTACATCTGCAGGGTTCTCCTTTCCAGCTATCGCTTTCACTTGAAGACCTACAGAAGTAAGCCTTTGAACCCAAAGCAGTCCTGCATCAATGTGCCTCGTTCTTCCTAGGCCTTTCTTCATAAGAATAGACCTAGCACTGCTAGAATCCATCCTAATCACCATCTCCGGCCTAATCCCTAGAACTCTGTGCAACAGGTTCTGTAGAAAAACTCCTTCACTCAAACCTCCAACAGCTGCCACCAGTTCGCTTTCGCAGCTGCTCAAAGCCGTCGCTTTTTGCTTTCTCGCGTGAAAGCAAACGATGTTACTGTTCACGAAAATCAACACGCAGCTCGTTGACTGCCTATTCTCACGATCGGTCGCCCAGTCGGCGTCGGTCACTACCTCGATCAAACTCTTCGCCGTAAAAACATCTTTGTAGGCATCCTCAGTTCTCTTATCACTTGGATCCAGAAAACTCTTTCCAGGATATGCCTCTTTGTGTTCTATCACGTAATGGGCTGTCGCCTTCACGTACTTTGCCACGTGCCTAAGCACTGCTAAGTCTCCTCTCGTTGGCGCTGCCAACTTCCCTGACAACCACTTCGTAGCGAATCCCAAATCAGGTCTCTCCGGTGTCATATACAATAGGATTCCCACACAGGATCTGTACAGATGATGTTCATCTGCATCCAAGGGCGCGTCGTCCTTAAACGATCTTCCGTAATCCATTGGAAACGGCAACTTCTTTGGCAGGGCTTTTCCCAAACCTAAAATCTCTTCCAACTTCTCAAGATACTTGCCGTCCATCCTGATCTCAATTCCTTCTTTCGTTCCTAAGAACGTCCTCTTCAAGAAAGTACACTTTCCTTCTCCAACCTTCACTGGTCCTTCCAGCTTTATCTTCAACTTGTGCTTTAGCAGCAGATCAACCACTGCTTGATTCTCCTTTGGTTTTCCAAACACTTCCACATCATCCACATGTGTACTCATCAGCGTTCCACCTTCTCCTGGGGTCTCTGAAAACTTGTAGAAGAAACTTGGTAACCCCACATCGGAAACCATCTTCTCTTTCTCCAGGATTTCTCGTAGGTGCTCAAACCAAGCACTGCTTCCTGTTCGTTGTCCCGGTAGGGTGTACTGCAGTTGGTACCACTTTCCTCCTAAACTCACAACCGTGTACTCCTTCTGCGGCACCTGAAGGTACGCATCCGAAATGTCTATCGAGATCATCTCGTAGTCTCTTGAACTCGCACACAAAGCTGATAACAGCTTGATGCTCGAACCAATACTCGTGGGTGAGTATAGCGCTGAGAGATCGTAGTCCGTCAGCCACTTGTACTCCCGCGCCACTAGGCGGGCTCGCCTCTTCCATTGGAGGTCCCTATGCCTCCAATCCAACACGTACTTTGTACTGAGTCTCTTTGGTTCTTCTCCATTCGGTCCTTTCTTCAACTCTCCATTCTCATCCAGTTCCACTTCTTTGAGAACTTTCATCTCCAATAGTCTCTCGATTTCTGTTCTCTCCGCTGTCCACTTTTTCCAAATCTTCAGCTTCCAACTTTGGTGGCCCATCATCATACTCGTGAGACCAAGTAACCGTTAGGTCCTCTTCTGTCTCACACACCTTCTCGTTCCACTTGCTCTGGAACTCTCGACTTTCTTCCAGAAACAGCTGTGTCTCGTCGAGATCAACATACTCATCTCCATGCTCTTCGGGATCCTCGCTCTTGGCGAATCTCCGAATGTGGTATTCCACTCGCGCCGCACTTCCTCGTGCTTCGTCTCCAAGTCTTGGCACCTTTTCAACTCTTTCTTCTACCTCTCCAGTTCCTTCGTCTACTCTTGGTTCTTTCTTCGGTGACCCTTCTCCTTCTTCTTCTGCATTCCTCTTTGCAACTTCTCTTTGAAACTCTTCCAACGTCATTTCATCGGGCACCAATTCATCTTCCGCTTTTCTCTTTGTTCTCACCTCTCCTGGATCATCGTCATCGTCATCGCTCTCGTCGTCCATTGCTTCTGGCGTTGCTCCAGACAGCGACGAACTCTTACTAGAAGAACTTGAGCTTCCTTGGCGGTCGCTTGGCGGCGAAGGCTCGCTTCTCTTTTCCTCTTCTACTCTTGTGTCAGTTTCCACCGCCAATCTTGGCAGTCCTGGCCCATCATCAATAGGCACAATTCTCTTCTTCTTAAACCTCAAAGCCTTCAGCTGATGATCCCATGGAGCTCCAACCGAAAGTTGCAAGAGCTCCGGCTGATATGCCTCAGCACATCTTCTCATTGTCCTCGCTTTAATCACTCCTCTACCTGTGCCAATCAGGTTCAGATTGCTCGCGTAGTCCTTTCCAAGAAAGACTCCTTTCTCCCAAGGTTCTCCTTTCTCCTTGGTCTTTGGCACTGCTTTTCCAAACACTGCTGACCCGAACGGGGCCAACTTCCCTTTGTACGTTCGGTCCACTGTCGCTTCAAACGCAGTTCTGCCATCTCTTCCAACATGAAACCTGTTGTGCAGCCATGCTGCGTGTCTGTATGCCCAGCTATAAAGCGGGACATCAGATCCGATGGCCGTTCCACTTCTTTGCTCCACCGTTGCCAACAACGTCTTCGCAAGGTTCCTTACCGTTTGAATATACCTTTCAACAGGCAACCCTTGATGCTCATCAGGCGTGGCATCTTGCAACTCCGTCTTCAAACCTTGTTTCGTTCTTGCCACTTGAACTCCTCTCCTGATGGCAATCATCACTGGCTCGGTGTCCGTTCTAATCACCACTTCAGCGTAACCCAAAAGGGCTAACACTCTTACCACTTCACTTATATACCGCGTGGTTTATCACCGCATCTCCTCCTTTCGTTGGTACCGCAATAGCTATCAGGAACTTCGTGTCATTGTCAACACCCGCAAGCTGAATAGCAAGCGGATCTCTCTCCTTTTCATCTCCTTGTGTTCCTGTGAACATAAAGTCCAAGCTAAACACGGGCCGTTGCGCTTTCTCCTTCGTCTCTTCAAAGTTGTCTTCTCTGCTCTTTGCTGCCTGGCATGCTTCACACCAGGGCGCTCTCGGCAAATGCGTCAACTCATGCGCTTCAATCTCTTCCGGGCTCGGCAAAGCAGGCAGAGCCTCTGGAATTGGCTCTCTCTCAAACTCCTTTCTGATATCCTCAGAGATTTGGGCTTGCGCTTTCACTTTGCTCAGCGCAACCTCTTTCTTCAATCTTTTCCACAAAATCTCTTTCGATCCATTCTTCGAGATATGCAGATACTTGCACGCCGCTTTCATCTCCTTCAACTCACTCTGGCGCGTCAACTTTATCGGTCCAATCACCATCACTTCTTCTTCATCTTCACCGATCACCGGAACTCCTCTCTTCGGTTCCTCTTTCTCACTTTCCTTTTTGTCTTTCGAACCTGAGGAGGTACCTGTGACCTCCATTGGCACTCCTTCTTGTGCCAGTTCTCTTTCAAGCTCTTCCAAGTTCGTGAGCAACCCATAGTCACTCGGTTCCTTCAATCCCTTTTCCAACAAGGTAACCATCACCTCAAACCTTGCTTGAGGACTCGCCCCAAGTTGCACTCTTTCGCGATCCTTCCAGATCTCCGTACACTCAAAGAAATCCATACTCTTCCAATCCACTTCATTCAACACTCTTTCTCCACTTCTTTTCATCTTTCCTAGCAAGGTTGTCCTATAAGGAAAATAATCGCCTTCGTCTCCTGCTCCCTCATAGAGTCTATTAGGGAACTGACCCGTTGGGTCAAACGTCTTCCCCATAAACCAATCAAACCTTGCAGGCGTGCCGTCATTTAGCACAAACCAACCATCTTCATCTTCTTTGCTCTTCAACTCATTCTTCAGTTCTCGCTCCAGCCTCACAGGCTGCACCGTCATCTCTTCTCCTTCAAGTCTCCGTATACACATCCTCGCCATTGAGGAATTCCTTTTGAAGTATATCGGTATCCGAACACTTCCTTTCTTCAGCCACAATCTTCCATCTTCATTCACCGTACCCCAACCTAGCTTCCACATCTTTCCTACCGCAAACAAAGGTTGGGTGACATTGCCGCAAACAGCACTGTCAGTGATCTTCAACTTCTTTCCAGACTCCTTCGTGAAAACAAACGTCACATTCTGCCTCACAGGCAGCGTTGGGATCACTTTCCCTTGCGCATCTTTCAGATGGTACTCAAAGTTCGAAGTTTCTCCGACTTCTTCTGCCCAATCCATAGGCAACACATGGCAGTCAGCTCCACTGTCGAGCACTACCTCACATGCATCCACTTCTCTTGCTGTTCTTCTCACATCATCTCCTTCAGAAACCATTCTCACACTTCTTTCAACTTCTGTTTCCAAGAACCACCATCCTTGGTACCACTCCATCAAACCATCAGTCGGTTCCTCCTCGATCTCTTCCACTTCATCGCTCGAAGAGATATCAAACTCCTCAACTCTTCTCAGCTCTCCTTGAACCAAACCTTCAAACTCTTGACACAATCTCACAAAGTTGAGCTCTTCATCCTCATCGTTCCACTCTTGTGTCATCTCTACTCTTCTTGCTTGGCGCGCTGCTTCAGCTGTGATCTGCCTCACTTGACCAGTCTCATTCTTCGCAGGAGGGGCATTGCTAGAGGAACTCTTCTCGTGATCTCCTTGATGGGTTCCTTCCTCTTCTACCTGTCTCACTTTGCCTTTACCTCCTTTTCCTTTTCCTTGATTCTGCCAGCAATCAGCTGCTTTGTGTCCTGTCTTTCCGCATATGTGGCACTCTCCTGTGAACTTCCCTTTCCCGTAGCCACCAGCGTCCACTGCTCGTGCATTTCTATAACCACCTTTTCCTTTTCCTTTGTTGTCGTATCCTTTTCCTTTTCCTTTTCCTTTGTTGTTGTACCCTTTTCCTTTTCCTCCTTTTCCTTTGTTGTCGTATCCTTTTCCTTTTCCTCCTTTTCCTTTGTTGTCGTATCCTTTCCCTTTGTCTTTTCCTTTTCCTTTCACTCGATCAACATCCATTGGTTGTGGCCCATTATAGGGTGTACTCTTTGTTGCGCTTTCCATGTTGAAAGACTGCAAAATGTTCTCCGCATTCCACGATTGGGTACTCCTCTCATACTCAAGCAACTTCTTCCTGATGTCTGCGTACTTCGTCGTCGGGGTCAATCCTATCAGGATATGTTTCCTTAACTCATTTGGCAACCCTTTGAGTACTGTTCCGATTTTCAAATTCTCATCGTAGGGTTTTCCTTCGGACAGTTTTTCGTATTCCGCAACAAGTTTTTCGTAGGTAAGTAGATAGTCTAAGATAGAAGTCCCCTTCGTCATCTGGGGAAAGCTCACTAGAGCTTGAGCCATTGCCAGCCCTCTTGTTCGGCTTGACGGCTCCAACTCTTCAAACAGTCTCCTCCAGACAGAATATCCATCTGGACTTCCTTCTGACTTCAATAACTTTAGTGGCCTGTTCCTAAGATACGAGGCCAAAATCGCATACAGCTTTGTACTTCTTTCTCTTTCACCAACTGTATAATCTGTTGGATTTGGTGGTGCCAGCTCCACTTTCTTCAACTCTTCTGCATGGGTGGGATCAATGAAGCCCACAAACACTTTGAAACTGAAACTCCAGTCTGGCCACTGTGAAACTTCCTCCTCCAAACTCTTTGGAGCGAATACATCCGGACTCTTTACCAGCCTAGCTGCAGAGTCGTAACTCCTGGTACTTCCTGTACCTGCAGCACTCGCCAAAGCTTGCGCTGCTGCCGACAGGTTCCCTATCAGGGCCTGAAGGGATCCTCCTGCAACTCCTTCTGGTGCAGGCATCGCCATTGGCGTATCACTTGGTGTATCTCCTCCTTGACCACCGTGACCAGGGGACACAGGCAAATCCGCGTCTCCAGCTGGACTTGGCGTGGCCATTCAACTTTCCTTTCTTTCACTTTCCGTGACACTGGGGCCCAAGGCTCTTTTCTCCTTGTATTGGGCTCTTCTTCAGCCGAAGGTCCTGGCCTTCAGCTCCGCTACCATAAAACGCTTTACGGGTACGTTCCGGACCCTTTCACTTCACACAGATATTCGCACTTCACTTTTCCTCGGGCGCACGGCTGTCTTGGGTGCGTCCCTTGAGCCTAAACACCACAGTGGAACATTTGTTCCATACTATACAAAATCATGTGGCAAACAGCTCATCTACAGGATTACAGGGCAACACACTCCTAAGCGAAATGTTTGTTATTATCGCAATAGGTTTCGATGGTCTGGCTCCTGAAAGCCCCCGCGGGGTCTAACCTCAGAGTCCTAGGTAACCCGAAATACTGAACCCATCCCTCTTGAAAGTACTGAAGACACGCTGACGCGGAAGGCTGCTGTTTGGATCCTCGGGTCAAGATCCTCGCCGTACGGAAACGAGTGCACTCATCTATGACCACCAGAAATTGCACATGTTCACCTGTAGTTGAGTTGTGCCAATTACCAACGTCCGCTGAAACAGTATGCCACTTGGGTGGAAGGGGTTCCAATGACGCAAGATTCCTAGGCTGCACTCTACGTTTTTCTTCACAAACACTGCACCTAAATTGCTTGGCCACTTCTAACACCTTGTCCGAAGCCCCTCGACGCTTCAATGACTCAACAAGATGACGGATACTCCCATGTCCTGTCGCGGCATGTAACATCTATAGAGTTGTTTCTGAATGCGCTTGGTTTCCTGGTCCTGGCTCGTTCGGGTCGGTTCCTGAACATAGGCTTCTTCGCTTTCGTGGGTTTCATACACCCCGTGCTCCGGGACACGCGTTCCGGATGGCTTCCGGGGAAGGGGAAAACCTAGTTGGGTAAGGCTCTTACGCACCGTCTGATCAAGATCATCGCAACTCCGAGTCGTGTATGCTGTCAGAATCACTCTCTTTCCCTCCCACTCACATGTTCCATGCCATGTATCGGGACTGAACTCGATTATGCGGTGACGTGTGTTCTCCTTGTGCCCGGTTTTTCCTTCCTCATGGTCCTGTCCTGCCAACCACAACTCTCCGCCCGTGTAATCTCCGAACCCGCAGGTGTAATTGCGGCTACCTTTCTTGTTGTGGATGTCCCGGTGGAGGGGTAACCGATTGTCAATGCTGATGACAAATGATGACCAAGTAGCTTCGTTCCCGAGATGATGTTTCAAGAAGGCGTTAATGTAGTGACAAAGCTTTGGGTGCTCCTGGGTCCTATGACTCTTTCCTGAGAACTTGCCGTAGCTGTATGCCCCAAATTGGAAGTAAGCGGGCCTCGTGTTCGCGCCTCCCAGCATCCCTCTACCTTTTCGGGGAAGGTTCAGGTCTAAGGTGCTCAGGAATTGGTCCATATGTTTGAAAGACAGCTCTCCCCGACTGACATGTTCTCGTGCCTGTCTCTCACTCTCGTCCTCTTCTTTCTGCTCAGACACGAAACTCTCATGCAGCACTGGCACATGTTCCCTACCAAGAACACAACAACTGCAAGTCTGAACATGTCCGGACTGACAAGTGGCATCACACACGCAAGTCTCACCGCCACCGAACAGGTCAGGCGTCTGGGAGATACCTTGCCCCTCCTGTTGGACCCCGTAGAAACTCAACTCTTGTTGCAATCCGCTCACCACCAGTTTCGTGAACTCCGGCGTGTAACAAGCTGATTTCCCCGCCATGGCCCCTTCGCACCGCCCATGTTCGTACTTCCCGTGGCACCTACAAGGTTTGTTCATCAATTCAGCCATGCGCGCTTGTGTCGTCATGATCTTCCAACCCTTTTGGAGAAGTCGGTTCTTGTTGTCCCGAAGGTTAACCCGGCATCCCTTCAACACCGCGGTGTACAGTTGATACCGTCGCAGAATGTTTTGAATCAACGGCAACCTCCAGGCATCACAACGCTCGGACAATTCCCATGTGACATGTATGCCTTTCTGGATGCAATGGTGCAAGATGACACTGCAACCCACATACACTCTCAGAGCTTCTCTCCGCTTCTTCTCAAGTTCCTGTTTCTGTTGTTCACTGCGTTGGTTGGTTCTTTGCATGGGGGAGTACGGACCGCAAGGGGGAGAGAGCCACACATGACACGGGTTTTCCACTTCGATCTGTTCAAGAACAATCCTGATCCCTTCTGTCGTTCCTAACTCGCAACTGTCAAACAAGGAACTTCGACTGGCGGCTTGCATGTCATGTTTGGCTTCTTGCACTGCTTTTGTCAACACGCTTTCTCTCTCACATGCTACCTCCAAGAGTAGCGGTCTTTGATGGCTTGCTAGCCCTTGGAAGATCTTTGGAACGACACTCCACGATTCAGATTCCAGATGCCGTGCGGCGCCGGCCGTCAGAGGCCGTGTACCTACAACATCCTCCGATTTCTGGAGGTTCTCCTGCCCTTCGCTATCTACCAGAACTAGCCTTTCCTGACTACCATCTAGGGGTCCATCACCATCTGGAAACTCTGGTCGGTCTCCGTCGTCTCGGTGTCGGCACCCTTGTTGCCCTCGGCCTCGTTGTTCTTCTTCCGTGGCAAATCGCTGGGAGACATGATGCCCCGAAGGCTGTTGAGCTCTGCCTTCAGAGCCGCCACCGTCTCCTTCATCACTTTGAGGTCTTCCTTGTCGCTGCTGGCACTGGCACTCGAAGCCGCACCATTGTCGGCGGCCTTGCGATAGCCGGCATCCTTGTGTGCAAGGAAGGGTTTCCCACGGCCCTTGCCATTGTCCTTCTTGAGGAACACATCCGTCTCCCAGGCATTCTTGTCGGTCACCTTGGGCGTAATCGTGTCGGTGATCTTGTGCGGCGTCTCCTCCTCGGTCTCCGAGATGCGGTCGGTCTGTTCGATCAACCACGTGGCCAGCCGCTGTAGGTGAATCTCGCAGGACTGGCCTCCCTCGAGATAGGTCTCCTGCACCCATTGGCTGTACTTGGTCTCCTCGCGGAGAATCTGGCCGTAGGTCTTGGAAGCGAACTTGCCGAACCCCACCGTGTCGAGGGCGCTGGGAATGGAGACGCTGTAGATCACCTTCATGGCCTTTTGTTGCAAGACCGGGATGGTCTCGTGACCCGTCAAGGCAATCTTCAGGCGGTCGGTACAGAAAGTGATCAGCTCCTGCTTCTTTCGGCTTGCGCGATTCAACTGGGACACCCACTCTCGAAGATTGGTCTTCGTAGTCGTGGACTCCCCGGCCTCGTTCATCAACTCGGTCAGGCGGTCCCGCAATTCGATCTTGCCCCAGTTCTGGGGCGGACTTTCGCCCCGCTCCTGAATGGCCTGGCGCAACTGGGACATCGACATCTTCATCATGGCTGTGAGCTGCACAAGGTTCCCGGAAGGGCTGGAGCTTAGATCCTTCTGAGTTGTCACACTGGCTACCACATTGGGAGAGCTGCTTCCCGTTCTCACCGCAAGCAGAGACTAAGAAATCTTCAGAAACACTACTCGCATGATTCCTACCACTACCAACTTCCACTCTAGAACTCTGAACATCTGTGTTCCCTGAACTGTACAATTCGTCCTTCCTTTTGTCATCAGGGTCGGCATCAGGAAGGAGCTGTCCCTAAATGAACTCTTTTAGAGAAGGCACCGCTTTGTTGGTGCTCTGGGCTTTCGAAAACAAATCCTCCGAGAGGTCGAGGAGCTGGTGGCCGGTTTGCGACCTGCATAGCGGCACGACCTTGTACTTGTCAAGATTCCTGAACGTAACCAGGTCCTCTTCAAAATCTATGATCGCACCCAACTTCCGCAGTGCCTCCACGGATAGCAAGATAGGCCCCTGTCCCGCTTCTAGCGCGTGGATTGTGATCTGTCCCGGCTGACCGTTGGCCTGGATGCCCAACTTGATGGTTGACACACACTGGTCTTCTGAACTGTTCCCAAAACCAAACACTGGCTTGTCCTTCGTGTTGATCTCCTGCAATCGCGTCTTGCCGTGCTTGGCCAGGTTCCGGGCGAACAGGTCCTCCAAGGCCTTCACGGAACCAAGAGTCTTAGTCGCCCCACCATCTACCACGCAGTAGCCTTCCGTGATGGCTGCCTGGGTTGTAGGTCCACTGGAGGGCGAGAGCGCCTCATTCTCCGGTGGCTCTTGTCCCGCGAAACACACGAAGGGGGCGGACTCGCTTTGCTTGCCCTGGTTGTTCTTGGGAGCCTCGGGATTGGGACAATTCCTTGCCCGATGGCCGACCTTCCCACATTTCAAGCATGTCATAGTGCTATCATCGGGAGGGCGTGCTGAGGTGCCCTTCCCAGGCCCCCGGAAGAATTTCCGAGACATCTTCACTTGATGTTGTCGTTCGCGAGCTGCTCGAAGGGTGCGTCGGGCGTCCTGCATGATGGCATGTGCACTCTCAATCTCCTGTTGGCTCTCTTGGAGCTCATTCTGTTCCTCCTCGGTGAAGTCCTCGCCGACGGCGAAGAGCTCCTCGATGGTGTCGTCCTCGTTCTCATCCTGATCGTAGTCCTCGTTCATGTTGCCGAGGTAGGCTTGACCAGCGGGGCGAGCTCGACCGCCGTCTTCTCCATGTTGAGTTCGAAGTTCATGAGCAACTCGACTGAGAGTGTAGTTCCCCTTCACAGCTGTGTGGATGATGTTCCTTTCTTGAACTGAGAGGCCGGCGTCGGCCAATAAGTACCAAGCTTGCACGAACTCCGGGAGGAGTTCTAGGTTGGTACTGTCGGACCCCGAGTGCACCTGACCTGGTCGGTTCGACCAGTAGTCGCTCCAATCACTCTGGTAGCCGTAGTTCCACGAGTTCCATGACCACCAGCTGTTGTATGAACTCCACGTTGTTCATCACCATCATCGTCCTCATAATTGGAGGTCCAGCTGGCGCGGCGACTTCCCCATGGTGAGGGTCCGGTTGCACTTGTACCTCCGGTCCATGATCCTGGAGTCCCCGCTGACTTCCCTTTCGGCATGACTCGTTGGAGAGCCTGACAGGCTCGCCAATACGTTTCCATCTTCCTGGTGATGTAGTCATTCATGCTCTCGCCATACTTCCGGCGCCCATTCCGGAAGTACTTATTGAGGAAGTCGGTCGCCTCGGGGAGTCTGGGTCGACCCAAACTCTGTCGCAGATGCTGGACGAACACCTGCACTCCACCATTGAAGGAAACCCAATCTGAGGGTCCATTCAAAAAAGAGGGTGTCTGGTGGGTGGGGGGTGGATGGTGGGCGGTTGGGGGGGTGAGGGGTGGGTTTGGGAGTGGGTGGGGTGGGAGGTGGGTTCTGGGGTTGGCAGGGCGTGGGAGGGCGCAGGGAACAGGGTGCGGGGGGGGGGGGGGGGGGGGGGAAGGGAATAAGGGGCCAAGGGGGGGGGGGGACGGTGAGGTGTGGGGGTGGTGTGGGTGGGTGGTAGTAGGGGGGGGGGGGTGGTGGGGGGGTGATCCGTGGGCCCCATCCACAGAACACCAGGATTTCAATTATTTAAATAATTGAAATAATTGAAATAATTAAAATAGTTGAAATGGGTCCGATTTCAATTATTTCAATTATTTGGGCCCTTTGGCGCATTTGAATAATTGAAATAATTGAAATCGGTCGGATTTCAATTATTTCAATTATTTCAATTATTTAAATAATTCAAATCGGTGGGATTCGTGGCTTGGTCCAGAACCACCATCGATTTCAATTTTTTCAATTATTTAAATCCGCCGGGCTCTTTTGCGGCGGATTTAAATAATTGAAATAATTGAAATCCGAAGGTTCGATGGGCCCAATCCACCAAATCCGGGGATTTGAATAATTGAAATAATTGAAATAATTGAAATAGGGGCGATTTCAATTATTTCAATTATTTGGGCCCTTTGGCGGATTTAAATAATTGAAATAATTGAAATCGGCCGGATTTCAATTATTTCAATTATTTAAATAATTCAAATCGGTGGGATTCGTGGCTTGGCCCAGAACCACCATCGATTTCAATTTTTTCAATTATTTAAATCCGCCGGGCTCTTTTGCGGATTTAAATAATTGAAATAATTGAAACCAACTCTGCTGATTCAAATTATTTCAATTATTTAAAATAATAGTAGTCATACAGAAAAGAATAGAGCGTAAAATAGACCCTAGAGGCGCCTCTCTCATATATATATATATATATAGAGATACATATATATATATATATATATACACAACTTGGTGTGTGCGTCGACCCTCCCGAAAAATTTTAAGGGATCTGGGCCTGGGAGCCTCGCATATGATGATGACTGATGATGATGATGGTGATGATGATGTTGCGGCCCATGAACCTTGAACAAGCCTCGGAACCTGATGACATTGATGACAGATGATGAAGATGAGGACTCCACGGGGCATGCTTAATTTTCCAAGCCTCGATGATGACTGGTTACCCTCAGTCAGGGAGTCTGTGTTCGACTGAATCTGCGACGGAACAAGACTCGCCGCAAGCAACCCAGCTCCCTGGGCTGAGACCTGTGCTGAGCCTGACAACCCAACGAACTATTCTACCTGGGAGCCTGGGAACCTAGGAACCGAACCTTTGCCGAGCCTCGTGATGATTGTCAGATTGTCATGTCACGGCACATGTCTCAGCCCAGCCAGGGAGGGAGTCTTGCGGCAGATCTTCAACCGCAGATGCATTCGGCAACAGTCGCAAAGCCGGACTGGTGAGGAGCAGCATCATCATATTATGATGATGTTTCTCCTAACCAGTCCGGCTTCCCGAGTAGCGGTTGAGAGCATGCCGAGCTTGCACACGCTCTCCCGCAGCCCGTGTCTGGGAACAGGCAAACAGGCAAAGAGTGTTAGTCTCCAGCAACCTTTTAGAAACTGTCAGACCAATCCGGCTGGACTACAGACAACTTGCAAGTCGAACTCTACAAGCCCGTGGCACGCATATCCTCTGGGCCCCCTGGGCCTGGAAGCCTCGCATATGACTGATGACTGATGATGATGGTGATGATGATGTTGCGGCCCATGAACCTTGGACGGGCCTGGGAACCTGATGACATTGATGACTGATGATGGTGATGATGATGTTGTGGCCCATGAACCTTGAACGGGCCTGGGAACCTGATGACATTGATGACAGATGATGACGATGAGGACTCCACGGGGCATGCTTATTAAATTTATTTAAATTTATTATTGTAGCCTCGATGATGACTGTCATGCCACGGCACAGGTCTCAGCCCAGCTATTCTACCTGGGAGCCTGGGAACCTAGGAACCGAACCTTTCCCGAGCCTAGTGATGATTGTCATGTCACGGCACATGTCTCAGCCCAGCCAGGGAGGGAGTCTTGCGGCAGATCTTCAGCCGCAGATGAATTCGGCAACAGTCGCGAAGCCGGACTGGTTAGGAGAAACTTAATTAAGTTCATTTGCGATTGCCGAGCTGAACCTGGAAGCCGATACGACACGGGCTGAAGGAGAACATGCCGAGCTTCGACACGCTCTCCTGCAGCCCGTGTCTGGGAACAGGCAAACAGGCAAAGAGTGTTAGAACCCAGCAACCTTGTGAAACCTAAACTCTCAGACCAATCCGGCTGGACTACAACTTGCAAGTCAACTCTACAAGCCCGTGGCACGCATATCCTCTGGGCCCTCTGGGCCTGGAAACCTCGACTGATGACTGAAGATGATGATGGTGATGGTGATGATGATGTTGCGGCCGACCATGAACCTTGAACGGGCCTGGGAACCTGATGACATTGATGACTGATGATGGTGATGATGATGTTGCTGCCCATGAACCTTGAACGGGCCTGGGAACCTGATGACATTGATGACAGATGATGACGATGAGGACTCCACGGAACATGCTTCAAAATTCATGATTAAATTTTAATAATTATTATATTTTATCAGCCCAGGGAGCTGGGTTGCCAGCGGAGCAATTCAAAGTTCTGTCGAACACAGACTCCCTGACTGAGGGTAACAGACTGAGCCTGGCAACCCAACGAACTATTCTACCTGGGAGCCTGGGAACCTAGGAAACGAACCTTTCCCGAGCCTCGTGATGATTGTCATGTAACGGCACATGTCTCGGCCCAGCCAGGGAGGGAGTCTTGCGGCAGATCTTCAGCCGCAGATGAATTCGGCAACAGTCGCGAAGCCGGACTGGTTAGGAGAAACTTAATAAATTTAATCCTTTGCGGTTGCCGAGCTGAACCTGGAAGCCGATACCACACGGGCTGGCAGGAGAACACCTCGAGCTTCGACACGCTCTCCTGCAGCCTGTGTCTGGGAACAGGCTAACAGGCAAAGAGTGTTAGAACCCAGCAACCTTGTGAAACCTTCAACTCTCAGACCAATCCGGCTGGACTACAACTTGCAAGTCAACTCTACAAGCCCGTGGCACGCATATCCTCTGGGCCCTCTGGGCCTGGAAACCTCGACTGATGACTGAAGATGATGATGGTGTTGGTGATGATGATGTTGCGGCCCATGAACCTTGAACGGGCCTGGGAACCTGATGACATTGATGACTGATGATGGTGATGATGATGTTGCGGCCCATGAACCTTGAACGGGCCTGGGAACCTGATGACATTGATGACAGATGATGACGATGAGGACTCCACGGAACCATTATTATATTTTATCAGCCCAGGGAGCTGGGTTGCCAGCGGAGCAATTCAAAGTTCTGCCGAACACAGACTCCCTGACTGAGGGGAACAGACTGAGCTTGGCAACCCAACGAACTATTCTACCTGGGAGCCTGGGAACCTAGGAACCGAACCTTTCCCGAGCCTCGTGATGATTGTCATGTAACGGCACATGTCTCGGCCCAGCCAGGGAGGGAGTCTTGCGGCAGATCTTCAGCCGCAGATGAATTCGGAAACAGTCGCGAAGCCGGACTGGTTAGGAAAACTTATTTTAGCCGAGCTGAACCTGGAAGCCGATACCACACGGGCACGGCATGCAGGAAAGCGTGTCGAAAGGCCTTCGACACGCTCTCCTGCATGCCCGTGAACCTGGGACGGCGCGGAAGCGGCAGAATCTCTGCCGCTTCCACACTGTTTTTCTCCAGAAATTGTGACACCTAAAACTCTCAGACCAATCCGGATGGACTACAACTTGCAAGTCAACTCTACAAGCCCGTGGCACGCATATCCTCTGGGCCCTCTGGGCCTGGAAGCCTCGCATATGACTCAGATGACTGATGATGATGATGATGGTGATGATGATGTTGCGGCCCATGAACCTGGAACGGGCCTGGGAACCTGATGACATTGATGATCGATGATGACGAGGAGGACTCCACGGCGCATGCTTAATTTTCCAAGCCGTTGAGCCTGGACCTGCAATTGATGTTCCGCGTGCACGCCGTGCATTCCCCGCAGCATCAATTCGAACCAGGGGTTTCCAGTGGAAACACCTGGTTCGATTGATGCTGCGTGTGGCGCCTGGGGCCTGAAGTCTGTTGCTGCTCTGTTGCATGCACCGGCAGTGAACATCCACGGAACGGCCACCGGCAAGGTTTCCATGTCCCCAGACTCCCTCAGCGACTCTGCCACGGTCATCTGTCCGCCCTTAAAGGGTGGACAGATGACGGTGGCAGAGGCGAACCCAGGCGAACAACCATGGAGCCTGGCAGTAACCTTAAAATCTTAAATATTGGGAGCCTGGGAGCCTGGGAACCTATGACTAGGAACCAGTCTCAGCAACTCAGGCCACAAAGTCGGAGCGTCGGCTGGCGCCGGTGTGGGCACCAAAGCAGCCTGGCAACACGGGGAGCGACTGGGTTGCCTATCAGCAGTGACAGTGAAATTACATCATCCAGGTTCCTTTTAGGTGGGATGTTGGGCACCCACGAAGCAACCCTTCAATGCATAGAAAAGACCCTTCAATGCAACTTTTAAGGGTCCCTCAAAGACTAAGATGCTGCTGGATGTTGGCTGGGCACCCACGATAAAACCCTTCAATGCATCCAAAAGACCCTTCCATGCACCTCTCTTAAGAATCAGCGTGTTCAAGGGTCAAAAGGTTGCATCCAAGGGTCCCTCAAAGATGCTGCTGGATGTTGGGCACCCACGATAAAATTCCTTCAATGCAACTTTTTTGAGAATCAGCGCGTTCAAGGGTCACAATGTAGCATCCAAGGGTCCCTCAAAGATGCTGGATGTTGGGCACCCACGATACAACCCTTCAATGCATCGAAAAGACCCTTCAATGCACCTCTCTTAAGAATCAGCGCGTTCAAGGGTCAAAAGGTTGCATCCAAGGGTCCCTCAAAGATGGCTGGATGTTGGGCATCCACGAAGCAACCCTTCAATGCTTCCGGGTTTAGGGTTTAAGGTTTAGGGTTTAGGGGTTTAAGGTTTAGGCTGGTTTAGGGTTTAGGGTAAAAGACCATTTCAATGTACCTTTTTGGAGATTCAGCGCATTCAAGGGTCACAAGGTTGCATCCAAGGGTCCCTCAAAGATGCTGGATGTTGGACACCCACGAAGCAACCCTTCAATGCATCGAAAAGACCCTTCAATGCACCTTCTCGGAGATTCAGCGCATTCAAGGGTCACAAGGTTGCATCCAAGGGTCCCTCAAAGATGATGGATGTTAGTAGGCATCCACGAAGCAACCCTTCAAGGCATCCAAAAGACCCTTTAATGCACATGTTTTAAGAATCAACGCAGTCAAGGGTCACAAGGTTGCATCCAAGGGTCGCTGACTGTCAAGCCATTATGACCGCCATGTAACAGACCCTGCACTCAATCAAGTCAGGCTGGCCAGACGGATGTCGAGATTTCGGGCGCCAACTGCAGCAACACCACTTCCTTGCCATTGTCAGTACAAAGACCCCTTAACTTCAGCAGAAGTTTCAATAGACCAATTGCATCCAAGGGTCTTTTTAAGCGGAATGTTGGGTACCCACGAAGCAACCCTTCAATGCATCAACAAGACCCTTCAATGCACCTTTTTTGAGAATCAGCGCGTTCAAGGGTGACAAGGTTCCATCCAAGGGTCTTTGTAGTAGGGATGCGGGATGTTGGGCGCCAACGATACAACCCTTCAATGCATCCCAAAGACCCTTCAATGCACCTTTATTGAGAATCAGCGCGTTCAAGGGTCACAAGGTTGCATCCAAGGGTCTTTGTAGGCATGCGGGATGTTGGGCACCCACGAAGCAACCCTTCAATGCATCGAACAGACCCTTCAATGCACCTCGGAGAATCAGCGCATTCAAGGGTCATCAGGTTGCAATTCAAGGGTCGATGCATCACCCGTCAAGCCATTATGACCGCAGTTGGCCAGCCTGTACGCAGGCGCCCGTCCCACTGCAGGAGGACCTGGCGAGAATAATGGTCTAAGTACGACTCAAATGCATGAGACTCACCGGCTCGCCTCGGCGCGGGTTTGGAGGAGCCTGCTAGCCGAGAATCGTCCGCTGTCCTGGTCGGAGAAAACATCAACAAGTCTTGACAAAGACGCGCTAGCAAATCGAGCTGCATCGGCTACCTCCCGAAATTTGATTCCCGTGCAGCCAGTCGGTATTGTCATCGTCGGCTACTGTACAAGCTAAGGTTTCAATCGCCCACACAGCGACAGTCGTGCCAGGGAGCGGACAAAGTAAACTAAAAAATCACCAGCTCACAGCTCCAAGCCTGGGAGCCTGGGAGCCTTGGGAGCCTTTGACTCCGGGCGAGAAGTGCCACGATCGCCTGAGACCTCACTGCCGGCTGCCCTTACCACCTCCGGCTTCTGCTTGGCCTTGGGCACAGGGTTGTGCTTCCTCTCGGGCACCTTA